GGCCTACAAGAAAGACCAAATGAAGAACAGAATAGACGCATGGGAAGACAAAGCACTACATGGCCAATACATGAAAAAAATAGCTGGGAAAGCAGATAATAATAAAACCTGGCAATGGCTAAAAGCAGGAAAATTGAAGAAAGAGACCGAGGGACTAATTCTGGCTGCACAAGACCAAGCCTTAAGGACAAATGCATATAAAGTCAAAATTGAGAAGACAGCAACAGACAGTAAGTGCCGCCTGTGCAAAGAAGCTGAAGAAACAGTGGACCACTTGGTAAGCTGTTGCAAGAAGATTGCACAAACTGATTACAAGCAGCGGCATGACAAAGTAGCAACAATGGTGCATTGGAAGATCTGCAAAAAATATCATTTGCCTGTAAGCAAAAACTGGTGGAATCATAAAATAGATAAAGTCATAGAAAATGATAAAATTAAACTGCTCTGGGACTTCAGAATTCAAACAGACAAGCACCTGCAACATAACACCCCAGACTTAACAATTGTCGATAAGAAAGACAAAAAAGTCTGGATAGTGGATGTGGCAGTGCCTGGAGATAGCATAATAGAAGAGAAAGAACTGGAGAAGATAACAAAATACAAAGACCTACAAATAGAAATAGAAAGACTGTGGCAAAAGCAAGCAAGGGTAGTACCAATAGTCATAGGCTCCTTAGGTGCAATCCCAAAACAACTGGAGCACCACTTGAACACCATTGGCATTGACAAATTCGCTATTAGTCAATTGCAAAAGGCAGCCTTATTAGGAACTGCTTCCATCCTGCGAAAATATCTGTAATACCATCAAACATCCACATCTGCCTATCCCAGGTCCTCGGTAAGGACTCGATATGTAGACAAAATGCCAAATCCAGTCTGAACATCTAGCTGATTGTGCGATGATCCATAATAAAGTTGGAAGGGATCTTGGAGGTCATCTAGTCCAACCCACTGCTCAGGCAGGAAACCCTATACCATTTCTGACAAATGGCTGTCCAGTTTCTTCTTAAAAACTTCCAATGTTGGCGCATTCACCACTTCTGGAGGCAGGTTGTTCCACTGGTTAATTGTTTAAACTGCCAGGAAGTTTCTCCTTAGTTCTAGGTTGCTTCTCTCTTTGGTTAGTTTCCACTCGTTGCTTCTTGTCCTGCCTTCAGGCAGTTTGGAAAATAGCTTGACTCCCTCTTCTTTGTGGCAGCCCCTGAGATATTGGAACACTGCTACCATGTCCCCTCTCCTCCTTCTCTTCATTAAACTAGACATACCCAATTCCAGCAACCGTTCCTTATGTTTTAACCTCCAGTCCCCTAATCATCTTTGTTGCTCTTCTCTGTACTCTTTCTAGAGTCTCAACATCTTTTTTACATCATAGTGACCAAAACTGGATGCAGTATTCCAAGTGTGGCCTTACCAAGGCATTGTAAAATGGTATTAACGTGATCTTGATTCTATCCCTCTGTTAATGCAGCCTAACACTGTGTTGGTTTTTTTGGCAGCTGCAGCACACTGCTGGCTCATATTTAAATGATTGTCCACTAGGACTCCGAGATCCCTCTCACAGTTACTACTATTGAGCAAGGTACCCCCTATACTATACCTGTACATTTGGTTTTTCTTGCCTAAATGTAGAACCTTACTTTTTTCACCATTGAATTTCATTTTGTTAGATAGAGCCCAATGTTCAAGTCTGTCCAGATCCTCCTGTATCCTAAGCCTGTCTTCTGGAGTGTTGGAGTGTTGGCTATTCCTGCCAGTTTGGTATTGTCTGCAAATTTGATGAGTTCCCCATCTATACCCTTGTCCAGATCATTGATGAAGATGTTGAAGAGCACTGGGCCCAGAACAGAGCTCTGGGGCACCCCACTACACACTTCCCTCCATGTAGATGCGGTTCCATTGAGGACCACATGCTGAGTACAGCCGGTCAGCCAGCTACGGATCCATCTGGTGGTGATGCTGTCTAACCCGCATTTTTCTATCTTATCAAGTTTTAGGTTGTGGTCTACTTTGTCAAATGCCTAACTGAAATCCACGTAAATTATATCCACAGCATTCCTCTGGTCCACTATATCCACAGCATTCCTCTGGTCCACTTGAAACAGCAAACAAGTTTATTAACTCAGAACAGAAGCAGCCCTAAAGGCTGCTGCACAACTATTTATACAGTTAGCCTTAGGTGGCAACCAATAGGTTTAAAGTAACAATTTCCCACCCCAAACCTCATTATCAGCTTGGAGACAGCCAGTCTGGCTTTCAGTAACAGCAACTGTTAAACAATACAGCAATGTAGGTCAGACATTAAGCAAGTGATTTAAAACAGTTGTGGCCAATATATTACACCCCTTCCCCCTAAATGGCTCAAACTCTCAATTGTTGGACATAGTCCTACAGATATTTAGGTAGCCTTCTTGACCATTCTGAACATATAGGGGTTGCAGGGGTCTCCCGGTCTACCCGATCACCTGCCCGGCTGGGTAGACCAGGACTCTGAAGTCCAGTGAAGTCAGGTTGACTCTGGTCCCTTTGGCTGGCCAGTCCCGGTCAGCCCAACCAAAGTCCAATTGTGCAGCAAAGTCTGCAGGGCTGTCCCTCAGCACAGTTTGCCGGTCCTGTTCAGCATATACTGTCTGTCTGTCCAGGGAAAGCTCTCCTATGGCCTTTTCCCTGTCTCCTTGAGTAAGAATTCTGCTGTTGCATGCAAGCTCCTCTGTTGGACTGCTGTCGCACAAGCCTTGTGTGCGGCCGTCTTGAGAGGCCCTCTGACTGGCTCGCTAGCCTCCGACGCAGCTGGTCAATGTGCCAGCGAATAACTCACCCATCTTCCAGGACCACCTCATAAGAGATTGGTCCTGATACCTTAACAACCACAGCTGCCACCCACAAAGCACCTTGCCAGTAATTCCGGGTCCAGACCCGGTCACCCACTTGCAAATTCTGAGGTGCCTTTGGCTGAGCAGAGTCCGAGGCAACCCGGTTGGGGTGCAGCCTGTCCAGCTTGGTGATCAAACATCGGCCCCATCTGAGCTCGGCAGGGCTTCTGCCCATGGCGGTATAGGTAGTTGTGTGTTGGCAGAGTAGAAAATCTGCCAGTCTGTGGTGCCAATCTCCTGTGACAATCTGTTTTAGTGATTCCTTGGTTGTGCAGACCAGGTGTTCCACTTGGCCGTTCGAGGCTGGATGAAAGGGAGCCGACATGGTGTGCCGTATTAGATTTGCCCTGAGGAAAGACTGGAATTCAGAAGCGGTAAACTGAGCCCCATTGTCTGAGACTAACACGTCTGGAAGTCCGTGTGTTGCAAAGATTCTGTGCAGTTCCTAGATGGTCCTGGCAGTAGTCATAGTAGGAAATGGTGCGATCTCTAACCATTTAGAATGCCTATCTACCACTATTAGAAACAGCTGTCCCTGAAAGGGCCTGGCAAAATTGATGTGGATTCTTGACCATAGTGTGTGTGTGTCCTCCCATCGGTGGACAGGGGCTTGCGGTATCTCCGATCTGGATTGCTGTCATATGTAGCAACCATGTACTTGGGCCTCGGTGGCTTTATCTAGCCCTGGCCACCAAAGGTAGTTCCTTGCAAGTGCCTTCATCCAGATTATTCCCAGATGACTCTCGTGCAGAGACTCTAGGACCCTGGGCTATGACCATACTTCCATAAAGGATGCACCCTTTATGAGCTGAAAGCTCATCTTTTCTCATGAAGAAACTCTGAAATTCTGGCCCTGGACATTTGTCCAGCCATCCTTTGTGTACCCAGTTTAGCACACGACTTAGTATTTTGTCAGCTGCTGTCTCAGCAGCTATGTCCCCAGCATGAAGGGGAGATTCTGGCAAATTCTGGATAGCCAGGATGCATGCAGCCGGAGCTGGATCTGGCTCCACATGTGGCAGGGGCAACCTGCTCAGGCCGTCTGCATGGCCCATTTCCTTGCCCGGTTTGTCAATCATCTTGTAGCAGTAGGCTGACAGGAAGATAGACCACTTCAGCATTCAAGGAGACAGAATCTGAGATGTCTGTTTGTTTGTGGTGAACACCCCTAGGAGTGGCTTGTGGTCCACGAAGACCGTGAACTGGCAGCCATACAAGTAGACATGGGACTTTTTAACTCTGGCCACAATGGCCAGAGCCTTCTTGTCAATTTGCATGTAGTTGTGCAGGGCCCTGGCTTAACACAGCCCCAACCCCATACGGGGATGCATCACACACAATGCAGACAGGCAGCTGCTCATTGAAATGAGTGAGAACTGAGTTTGATGATAGCAGTGATTTGACTGCTTGGAAGCTACTCTCATGGATACTGGTCCACGGCCACTGAGCTTGTCTATCCAAGAGTCAGTGTAATGGCTCTGCCACTGTGGCCTTGTTTGGGAGGAAGGCATAGTAAAAAATTCAAAAGGCCTAGGAAAGCCTGAAGCTCTCCCTTTGATTTTGGCCTTAGGGCCTGCTGGATTGTTTTTAATTTGAATTCTGCCAGATGAATGCCTTCAGCATTGATGCGGAAACCAAGAAGCTTGGTTGACTCTACCCAAATCTTGCATTTTTCTTTTTTTAGTTTAAGTCTCACATTGTAGAACCGCTGAAGGACAGCCTTAAGCCATTCAGCCAGAATCTCAACCGATTCCCCAGCAATGAGGACATCATTGAAGTAGGAGCAAACCCCTGGAAATCCCTTGAGCGTGCATTCCATCACTCCTTGGAACAGCCCTGGTGCTGCAGTCATCCCAAACTGTAGGCGCTTAACCTTAAACCCCCCCTATGGGTGACAATGGTCTGGGCTACCACTGTGGCCTCGTCCACAGGCAGTTGTTGATAGGCCTGTGCCAAATCTAATTTGGCGAACATGTGGCCTCCTTGCAATGACGCCAAAATATGGCTGACAGCTGGCACAGGGCATGCGTGCTGTTGAAGTGCCATGTTGAGGGTGCACTTATAGTCAGCGCATATTTGCACTTCCCCATTGGCCTTTAATGGTGTTACTGTGGGGGTCTGCAATACCCCTTATTCTACTAGCTTATCCAGCTCTGCATCGATTTTGGATTTTACCCCAAAAGGCACTCTACGAGGCTTGATCCGTATTGGAGTTACCATAGGATCAAGCTTGAGGGCGATCTGAGGCCCCTTGTACTCCCCTAGACTAGAACTGAAAATATCCGTGAACTCTTGGCAGACTGCAGACAGATCTGCCGCTTGTGTTCGGTGAATGCCGGTTACTTGAATGCTCAATGCTTCAAACCAATCGAGCCCTATAAGGCTTGTGCATTTGGCCTTCTACCACTATGACATCTAGTGGCCCCTTAACCCCTTGAATTCCATCAGAAGTGTGGCTTCACCTTTGACCACCACTCAGGAGTTTTGGAAGTCTGTGAGTAGTAGATTAGATGGCTGAAGCTTGGCCCATCTGTCGCTACGATGTCATAGTTGCCTGAATGTTCCTTGTAAAATGATGGACGTGGCTGAGCTCATGTCCAGTTCCATCTTGCATGGAACTCCCTGAAGCTTGACCTGTAGTCTAAGCTTCTGCTTTAGGGGGCGATGGGCACTAGTGCAGAATACGCTTCTTCGGCTGGAGCAGAACCCTACTCGGTGTTGACCTGGAGCCTCGGTACCTCTCCTGAATGCATCTTCTTTCGGACAGTCTCTCTGATAATCTCAGCAGATGGCGGCGATGTGGTCTGGTTTTCCACAGGCCCAGCACATTGCAATTCGGAATTGGCAATCCACGCATTGATGGCAGCCTCCGCAGCCCATGCATCTAAGGAATGGAACTGCCTTCTCAGCTGGTTGCAGTCCCTTCTCTGGGTGCTTTCATAGCTGGTTGACTTCATAGTCTGAGTCAATGTCTTCCATCCACTCGACGTCCTCATGGTGTATGGCTTTGATGCTTGGCGCACTTTTGGAGGGCCGCAGCACTTTAACGGCCCCTCTGTCAGCTTTGTCCGCCATGACCTCTTCAAGCCCTCCTGTAGCGAGAGAGTCTCCTTAGCGAACAGTTTTTGTTGGAGCTCTCAATTCCAGAGTCCGCAGACTAAGTGGTCACGAAGTCTCTCCTCCAAATCCGCAAAATTGCAGAGTCGGGATGCTTCACGAAGAGCGGCAGTGAAATCTGTTGCAGACTCACTGGGTTGTTGCTCCTGCTGCTCAAAATCATGCCTCCATGCTATAACGGATAACTTGGGCTCAAAGTGGTCTCGAAGCTCTTTTTTCAAGTCCACGTATGTGACTGACTCAAGCAGCACCGGGGCAACCAGGTTCTCTGCAATGTGAAAGGTGGCGGGGCCACACATGCAGAGGAGGGTTGCAGCCTTCAATCCATCTTTGGTGACCTGGTTGGCACGGAGGTAATTTTTGACGCATGAGATGTAGGACACCCATCTCTTCGGGTGAGTTACATTGAATTCTTCAAGCTTCCTGACCTTTGCCATGGTGGTTTGTTTCTTCGTTCAATGCCTTGCGCTGCTGGCTTCTGTGTAGGCCCTAGGACAGATCCTTAGGGCGTGGTGGTCTCCAGTGTGGCTTGCTGGCAGACCGAGGGGGGAGGATGTAGTTCCTGTCAGGCTCTGTGCTGACCTCACCTCCTAGTGACTTCAAGCTCTCTCAATGAAGCAGCACATCCCACCTTCCTCACCACTGTTGTATCTTTGGTTCTTTATTCATTGAACGAGGCAGAGTGTTGAAACAGCAAACAAGTTTATTAACTCAGAACAGAAGCAGCCCTAAAGGCTGCTGCACAAGTATTTATACAGTTAGCCTTAGGTGGCAAGGATAGGTTTAAAGTAACAGTTTCCCACCCCAAATCTCATTATCAGCTTGGAGACAGCCAGTCTGGCTTTCAGTAACAGCAACTGTTAAACAATACAACAATGTAGGTCAGACATTAAGCAAGTGATTTAAAACAGTTGTGGCCAATACATTACATCTACTTAACCAGATCCATATTTTTGGTTCTATGCGTAGGGGTACTATGGTTTCTAGACATTGCATTACAGTCTCTGCTATGAGTCCTGAAAATGGTGTTCCTCTGATTTGTTGGTATACTTGTTCACCATATTGAAAGTAGATAGTAAGGCCCATGAGGAGGTCCATGATTCTAGCTATTTCAGCCTTAGTATATTCCTTACCAGCAATCAACACCTAAAGAAGCAGAGCTTACACCTGAATCAATATTAGACCAAAAATCAAGCAGTAATAGCCCAAGGAACTACTTAAACACAATCAATCAATCAATCAATCAATCAATCAATGAGAATAGAGCTGAAAGGGACCTTGGAAGTCTTCTAGTCCAACCCCCTGCTCAAGCAAGAGACCTTATAACATTTCAAATAGGTGGTTGTCCAGTCTTTTCTTGTTGTGATGAAGCACCTACAACTTCTGAAGGCAAGCTGTTCCACTGCTTAATCGTCCTCATTGTTAGGAAGTTTCTTAATTCCAAGTTGCTTCTCTCCTTGATTAGTTTCCATCCATTGTTTCTTGTCTTGCTTTCTGGTGTTTTGGAAAATAAATTGATCCCCTCTTCTTTGTGCCAGCACCTCAGATAATGGAATACTGCTATCATGTCACTCCTAGTCCTTTTTTTTCTCTAGACTAGCCATACCCAGTTCCTGCAACAGTTCTCAAGACCCTTAAGAGTCTTATTTGCTTCTTTTTGCATTTTTTCCAAAGTCTCAACATGTTTTGGTAATGTGGTGATCAAAACTGGATGCAGTATTCCAGGTGTGGTCTTACTAAGGATTTATAAAGTGGTACTAACACTTGACATGATTTTGATTCTATGCCTCTGTTTATACAACCAAGGATTGTATTAGCTTTTTTGACTGCTGCCGCACACTACTGGCTCATGTGTGCGGTGGCAGCAGCAGAGTGGTAATGGCAGTCGGGGCGGGTGGGGCCGCCTCGCCTCAGCCTTTTGTGTGGTGGTGGTGGCAGCAGAGTGGTAATGGTTGGAGGAGGGTGGGGCCGCCTCGCCTCAGCCTTTTGTGTGGTGGTGGCGGCAGCAGAGCGGTAATGGTTGGAGGAGGGTGGGGCCGCCTCGCCTCAGCCTCGTGTGGGGTGACAGCAGCAGAGTGGTAATGGCGGTCGGGGCTGGGTGGAGCCGTAATGGCAGTCGGGGGGGTGGAGCTTCCTCGTCTCAGCCTCGTTCGTAATGGGGTGAGGGGTGGCCTGCTTGCTTAAGCTGCCTTGCCTTGACTGGCTGCCCAGCCTCATGGCAATGGTGGCAATGGTGGGGAGGCGGCAGCCTGGTGTTTGAAGCTTCCTCAGCTGGCGGCTGGCCTCAGCAGGCCCCAATGAGGCAGCATTCACACTCACCAGCTGCCCAACCTCGTGGCAATGGTGGGGGGGCAGCCTGGTGTCTGAAGCTGCCTCAGCTGGCCGCTGGCCTCAGCAGGCCCCAACAAGGCAGCGTTCACACTCACCAGCTGCCCAGCCTCATGGCAATGGTGCGGGGGGGGGCGGCCTGGTGTCTGAAGCTGCCTCAGCTGACAACTGGCCTCAGAAGGCCCCAATGAGGCAGCATTCACACTCTCCGGCTACCCAGCCTCGTGGCAGCAGTGGGGGGAGGCGTGCACCAGAGTGTGAAAAATGGTCTTGTCACTTTTTAAAGTGCCATTGTCACTTCAAACAGTCACTAAGTGAACTGTTGTAAGGTGAGGACTACTGTACTTTATCACTTTTTTTCCTTTTTTGGGGGGGTCATCAAGTTTACATCAAGATTTGGCACCTTGCTAGGTGACTGGAAAAGCCCTGTTAGAGTACCCAGATTGCAGCTGCTTTCTTGCTGGTATGTGGAATGGCATGGCACCCACAGGTTTTACAAAGTTAAGTGAGGAAGTTGGTTACAGCTTATTAGGAAAGATAAAATAGACAACCAAGAATGCTTTATTGACCATTCTTCGTTCAGATTTTATATCAATTGCATCTGCTAATACAGGCGTTCTGCTTCAGATTTGTCTGCTATTTTCAGTATCTGGTAAAATGAATGAATACTTTTCCAACAACCTGTAAAATCCAAGGCACTGCTTTCACTGTTTAATTCTCCCCTCCTAGATTGTTGATTCAGGGAATATCTATTTCTTTATTGTTAACTCTTAGTGTTAGTTATTTAGGGATAGATTTGTATTGGTTGCTTCATTTTTTTTAATTTTGTGTTTTTGTAGACTCCAAGTCTTGTACACTCACCCCAAAATGACTACAGCCAAAAAATAAAAAACAGATAGTGGAAGATCATTCCAAGAGGCCTGGACACAGTCATTTGGAATGATTGAATGCAGTGGGAAAGCATTATGTATTCTATGCAATGGAAGTGTTGTGTGTCGCACATCAAATGTCAGATGGAACTTTGAAACCAACCACAGAAATGTTGCTCAACTTGGTGATACTGAAAGAAAAGAGTTTCTTGGAGGGAAATTGAGGAGCTATCATTCCCAGCATCTTAGTTTTTCCAACTATCTTTCCAGAACAAATCATCTGACAGCTGCCAGTTTTAAAATTTCACTATTATGCGTAGCAAAACATGGTAAACCCCTCTCTGATGGGGATATTATCAAAACAGCCATGTTGTCTGGGAATGATTCTCCTTTTCATGATTTCCCAAACAAGGATAAAACTATTCAACGCATCTCTGAGATACCACTGAGCAGAAATACTGTTAAAGATAGAATCCAGTGCATGGCAAATTATGTTAGTCAGCAGCTTACCACTGACTTACAAAAGGCAGCCTGTTACTCTGTATGCTTGTACGAAAGCATAGATATCAATAATTATGCAAGGCTGGCAGAAATTTTGTGTTATGCTGTTGGTAACATCATGAGAGAAGCGCTGCTGAAACTGATATCTTTGTCTGAAAGAACACAAGGTGTAGATATCTACAATGCTGTGAACGAAGCTTTTTTGTCACAAGATATAAGACCAGAAAAGGTGGTTTCAATTACAAGTGATGGAGCACCTTCTATGGTGGGGGCAACATCTGGTTTCATACAGCTGTTTCTTCAAGAAACAAAACATACAGTAATTCAATTCCATTGTATTATATACCAGGAAGCTCTTTGTGCCAGGGAAAGCAACAAAAAAATTGACAATGTCCTCAAAGATGTCACAAAAATAGTGAATTACATCATAGCTCATGCTCTGAATTGTCAGCAGTTTCAAGTACTTCTTGAGGAGGTTCAGGCAC